TAACAAACAGGATGTTAAAAACTGCATGACGGTAGCTGAAATTTCTCAGTTCCTGAAACTAACATCTATTAAAGATCACCAGTGGCACATCCAGGCATGCTGCACTCTTACTGGCGAAGGGAGCTGGAGACCCATGGATCTCAGAAGGAGCATTTTTTAGACTTTAGTTTTAGATGTGTTTTAATCCACTTAACACCTTTGGCTTAATACATTAATTTTATCTTGGGGAGGGTGTGCATGTGTGTATGTGTGAGGGTATTGGGATGGATGGGATGGAAGGAATGGGTTTCGAGTGACTGAATTTGAGGGAGCTGGGGGCAAGGAATGGAGCCCCCTCTTCTGAGTGTGCAAACAGAAACAAATGGGGGCTCAGATATGATCCTTGGCTTAGAATGAGTGGGGTGCCTTGCCTGCCGGGGAGGAGGGGGTCCATTGAGGTGGGGGAGAGGATCTCTGGGGTGTTGGAGAGCCAGAGTATTGCGGTTATGACCAGGAGAGGTAGATATGGCGGGAGCCGAGGGGTAGGCCGCTCTCGGGGAACTAGGACTTGCTGTTTCAAAGCGATTACTTGTTCCAGCCCCTCTGGTTCTGGTTCATTGGGCTTGCCTCGTATACCTGGTGACTCGGGATGTCAGAGCCCTGACCTCAGGCTGCTGCTGTTTAATGCCAGGTCTGTTGTTAACAAGGCCCCCCTCGTTCGGGACTTAATCCTGGAGGAGGGGGCTGACCTGGCATGCAAAACTGAGACCTGGCTGGGCCAGGAGGGGGGTGTGCCCCTCTCAGAGATGTGCCCAGGCGGGTTCCAGATATTGCATCAGCCGCGACTACAGGGAAGGGTGGAGAGTGGCAGCCATTGTCCGGAAGAGTCTTTGCCCTCGCAGGATCCCTGCCCCTGAGATTGTTGGGTGTGAGTCTCTCCTTTTGAGGTTGGACTCAGGGGTTCAGTTGGGCTTGTTGCTGACGTACCTGCCTCCCAGCTGTGTTACAACAGTCCTGCCTGTGCTGCTAGAGGTGGTAGCTGGGCTGGCGGTGGAGTTCCCCAGGCTTATGGTACTGGGGGACTTCAATTTGCCGTACTTGGCGAATCCTCAGATGTGGCTCAGGAGTTCATGGTTTCCATGACAACCATGGACTTGACCCAAGTAGTTCAGGGTCCGACTCATGAGGGGGGGACACACTTGACCTGGTGTTTCTCTCGGGGCAGTGGAGATATAATCTGGAATTAAGGGGTATAGATGCTTCTTCCTTGTTATGGTCAGATCATTTCCTGCTGAGGTTAGACTTCAGGATGCTACTCCTTCATCCGCAGGGAGGCGGAACCGATTAAGTGGTTCCACCCCAGGCACCTAATGGACCCTGAAGGGTTCCAGAAGGAGCTTGGGGAGATACCTGACTCCCTTGTCCACAGTCCGGCTGAGTCCCTGACAGCTGCCTGGAATAGGGCGGCATCTGGGGCACTGGACTGGATTGTGCCTTTGCGACCTCTCCATGGCGGTGGATCCAGGAAAGCTCCCTGGTTTACCGAGGAGCTCTGGGAGATGAAGCGCCAGAAGAGACATCTAGAACCACGCTGGAGGACCAGTAACTCCGAATCTGACCGAACACTCTTAAGAGCCTTTATTAGGACTTATTTAGTGGCGATACAGGCGGCAAAATATTCACATTTTTCCGCACTTATTGCATCCGTGGATTCGCGCCCAGCCACCCTATTTAGGGTGACGCGCTCCCTGCTTAATGTAGGGGGAGTGGAGGAGCCCTTGCAGGGTAGAGCTGAGGAGTTTGTGCAGTTTCTGGCGGATAAAGTCGCTCAGATTCGGATGGACCTGGACTCTGATTGGGCAACTCCGACCGAGATGACAGGGGCAGGTCTTAGTCCTATTGTGTGGGATGAGTTTGAGCCTGTGACTCCTGAGGAAGTGGACAAGGCTGTAGGAGCGATGAGTTCCTTCACTTGTTTGTTGGACCCGTGCCCCTCCTGGCTGGTTTTGGCCAGCAGGGAGGTGACACAAGGCAGACTCCAGGCTTTAGTTAACGCGTCCTTAAGGGAAGGGGCCTTCCCACAACCATTAAAGGAGACGGTTGTAAGGCCCCTCCTCAAGAGGCCTTCCCTGGATCCAGCAGAATTAAAGAACTTTCGTCCAGTCTCCAACCTACCCTTTGTGGAAAAGGTTGTAGAGAAAGTGGTGGCACTTCAGCTCCTGCGGTCATTGGAGGAAATGGATTATCTAGACCCTTTTCAGTCTGGATTCAGGCCTGGCTACAGCACAGAAACTGCTTTGGTCACGCTGATGGATGATCTCTGGCGAGCCCAAGATGGGGTCATTCCTCCATCTTGGTGCTACTTGACCTCTTAGCGGTTTTCGATACCATTGACCATGGTATCCTTCTGGGATGACTAAGGGAGCTGGAAGTGGGAGGCACCATGTTACGGTGGTTCTCCTCCTATCTCTCTGGTCAATCACAGTCGGTGTTGGTAGGAGGACAGAGGTCGACCCCTAGGCCCCTCGTTTATGGGGTGCCTCAGGGCTCGGTCCTCTCTCCCCTCCTATTTAACATCTACATGAAGCCGCTGGGTGAGATCATCTGACGATACGGGGTGAGGTATCAGCAATACGCTGATGATATCCAGCTGTATATTTCTACCCCGCGTCAATTCAGTGATGCGGTGGATATGATGTGCTGGTGCCTGGAGGCTGTGAGGGTCTGGATGGGAGTCAACAGGCTCAGACTTAACTCAGATAAGACCGAGTGACTGTGGGTATTGCCTCCTAAAGTTCATTGTCCATCCTTGGTTCTGGGGGGGGGGAGAAATTGTCCCCCTCAGAATGGGTTCGCAATTTGGGTGTCCTCCTAGACTCACAGCTAAGATTAGAGCAATGTCTGACAACTGTGGCTAGGGGGACCTTTGCACAGGTTCACCTGGTGCACCAATTGCGACCCTACTTGGATCGGGAGGCTCTCCTCACAGTTACTCATGTCCTTGTCACCTCACGGTTAGATTATTGCAACGCGCTCTACATGGGACTACCCTTGAAAAGTGTTTGGAGACTACAGTTAGTCCAGAATGCAGCTGCGCGAGCTGTCGTGGGTGCACCTAAGTACACCCACATTACACCAATTCTCTGCGAGCTGCACTGGCTCCCTATTGGTCTCCAGTCACAATTCAAGGTGTTGGTTATTACCTTTGAAGCCCTACATGGCTCAGGGTCAGGGTATCTTCGAGACCGCCTTCAACTGCATAACTCCCAACGACCGGTAAGATCCCACAGAGTTGGTCTCCTCTGGGTCCCGTCAGCTAAACAATGCCAGCTGGCGGGCCCGTGGGGGAGGGCCTTCTCTGTGGCTGCCCCAGCTCTCTGGAACCAGTTACCTCCTGAGGTCGGACCATCCCCACCCTATTGGCCTTCCGAAAAGCGGTGAAGACCTGGCTTTTCCAGCAGACCTGGGGCCATTGATCTCACTCTTGTGATCCGGCGAGATCCAGCCATGAATGGTGTGAATGAGTTTTAATGTTTTTAATGTTTTTAATTTTTAAATGTTTTTTATAATAATTTTAAATGCATTGTGAGTCGCCCTGAGTCTTCGGAGAGGGGCGGCATACAAATTGCATGCATAAATAAATAAATAAATAAATAAATAATAAATAAATAAATAAATAAATAAATAAATAAATAAATAAAGTATGTATGTATGTATGTATGTATGTATGTATGTATGTATGTATGTTTGTGTGGCCAGGTACTACATGCTGCAAAATAATACAAACCAAGAAAAGTTATAGCTCACTTGGGCATTTTTAGGAGATACTTTGTCCAACAGACACTGGATTGGGGCTCAGAAGTGTTTTCTAGTGACCTTCAAACAGACACTATAATAATGCTGATGGCAGGATATTATATCACTTCCATTGATAGAAGTGTCCATTTTGGAACAAATTGCATGAGGAGACTTGAATGAGACACCCTCAAGTTAAGGTGCAGGAAAGTCAGGGGCTGTTCTCTTTCATTCATGGGAAAACAAATTTACATTACAAATTACAATTGTATGTTAAGAATTGGATAGAGGACTCAGTTATCCAGAGAAGATGATATGTTCCTTTTTGCTAAAAAGGCAGAGGCTGTCCGGGATATTTTAATTTGGATTCTTACATTGAGTAAATTAGACCAGCATACCAGTGATTTAAGATCCTGAAAGCTTCTCAGAATCAATGTCCTGGGCCCACTCTATTTTAGGGACTGACTTTCAGCACTTTCAGATGAATGGAACCCAAAGAGGCTCTTGAACCAATGGACATTTCACGCTCTTTCAATATATGCATTATTTTAAAAATACTCTCCTTTTTTTAGAGAGCCAGTTTGATGTAGTGATTAGCCTTAACCACTAGGCTGCAAATAAACAAATTGTGAGTTCTAGTCCTTTATTCTGGAGGAAACCTTGAAATAATTTACAACTCACAGGAACCTCTACTAAAAATGGCAAAAATAGGAAAACTTTACAATGCAATTCACTTCTAACCCACACATACCATAATAATAACACAGTAGCAGGCTAGCAGCTGAGTTATGGCACATAAAAATTCTCACCATAGCAAGCACTGGCATTGTGCACTGTGTAAATTTTTTTAAAATCCAATTGCAATGTCTCATGGAACTTCTAGCAACCTCTTACAAAATCTGGGGTTCCACAGAGCTCCAGTTGAGAAAGATGATCTTGACAAAAGCATGGCTTCTAGGCCTCTTATGGTATAGTGCTACCATGGTATTTTATTTCTCTTTATAATTTAGTATTTCTTTTTAAATTCAGACTCATTTATGTAATAAAATTGGCATATGCATTTTAAGCCGAATATAATATAATTAATATAATATAATATAATATAATATAATATAATATAATATAATATATAATTTTGTATATAATTCATGTCAGGTTTGGAATTTGGTGACATTCATATTTTCCATGTTATTAATTCTTATCTCTCTTGTTTATTTTTTTTTTAGGTGTTCTATTGATCTTGGTGCTAACAGAAGAATTAATATTTGCTGTTCAGGTACTGACTCCCAAACTTGTGTCATCTCAGAGCCTTCTGATGGACAATATTAGTATTTTAGCTATGGAGACAAAGCCAGGACTTGGAGGCCATCACACAACCAAAACTTTGCCCACAACAACTCTTGCAAATGCTGATTCCAGTAGTATAGCAGAGACTTCTGTTCCTTCTGTTGGCCAGAAGGAATTAAACAGCAGCCATTTTGTTGGTAACACAGAATCTTATCATTTATACAACCAGAATATTTTGTTGTCCAGGAAGTCACTTAACAAACGAAAAATGTTTCTGGGTGTCCAAGGCAATTTCACAGCATTTACAGAACCTTATCTAAAAAGAGAATTGTATTCTTCTGCTACCACAGAAAATTGGCCCCCAGAATATCCATTTCAGACCCAGCCTACAGTTCACCCCAGTCATCAAAATACTTTACAGGGAACCACAACAGACTCAATTGATTCTAATCATACCTTGGAAGGCCTTAATGAAACAGAGAAGGGGAGGTCATCAGAACTGATTATGCAAGAGATTGATCTCATTACCCCAACAATTGGTCCATCAACTGTTCCTGAAATGGTGACAGTGCCTTTTAAAGCCACACATGGCATACAGGAAATACTGTACAGCAAAAACAATTCATGGATAAATTCAAGCCGGAATACAGATCAGGTAGCCTTTTTTTCTAGTCCTGGGACAACAGCAACAGAAGTAGACTTTGGACAATCTAGTCAAAATGACGTTGATGCCAGTCTTTCCTCCTTACATGCAACAGGGAGCTCTATTGAGGAACCAGCTACCATACTGCATCCCTCTGGACATAATGCTAGCTTGCCAAGCAGTACACAGTCTATGGAATCCTCGACATGGCTTCCAAGTTCCACTTCAACAGCTACAGAGAATTTCCTAAACAGACTGGTACCTGCTGGTACCAGAAAGCCTGATGTCTCAGGAAATGTTTCTCATGTCACAGAAAGGGACAAGCCCCAATACAGAGCAACTATTTGTCTCAGCAAAGTGGATATAGCATGGATTATCTTGGCCATCAGTGTACCCGTATCCTCATGCTGTAAGTTGAATGCTTCTCTATATATTTATGCCCTGTGAGATATAACATGTATCAAATATTGATAATGAAGAAAAAAAGATTGAACAACCTAATTATAAAGTTTCAGTGATCCTCATAATATGACTCCCATATAATTAATAATCATCCTAAATTATTTCAACATCCTTACATTTATATACCCATGCACTGTTGAGAACACAGCAGAATTAGCATATGTTTTGGTCTCTTATGTAAACACAGTGCTTCTATTAGAGTGCATGAAATCCAGGAGCATCCATTTTTTTCATCCTTGGCACATAATTTTGATCAGAGAAATCACAGCAGATAATCTATTATCCTTTCATAATTTTGCCATGAAAAGTTCCCACATATCTGGAAATGAGCACTCACCTGCATAATGCCTCCGATGCCGCTTTCTCATTGTCACCATTATAACCCTTTTAACTCCTTGAGAAAAGGAGAAAAGCTTTGGTTGGGAAACTCTATTTAATAATTGTGCAAAACAATTGGCCTAATTTATTTTTTGATATTACTTCACTGAAGTTATAGCCAATTGCTAGTTCATCAGAGAAGATTAAGAAGTTGGCAGTGAAGTTATTTGTATCACTGATATTTCAATTTTCAGTTAGTATGTTCTGTAACTCTCTTCAAAAGTCTGCTGAGATTTCAATATTTTTGATGACACCTCTTTCATTAGAACAGCAACCAGACGTTGCATCCCATCTGGAAACATTATGGTGTCTAACCACAAAAGAGAGAGAGAGAGAGGGAGGGAGGGAGGGAGGGAGGGAGACAGAGAGAGAATGAATGTAGTTCTGATATCTGTTCTGCAGATGCCAACCATTTATGCAACAACTTTTATAAGACTATTTATCAGTTATAGCAGCTAGAACAGATAAGCTAAAGATTCCCAAATTATCTTGATTCATGCCACACACCCCCACCAGCAAACGACAGTTCTGTTTATTAAATAGTAAAATATGCCACACTGTCCCTATTTGTTTGCTGCAACATTCTGGGGTGTTGTGATAGTGTACTGTACAGTTTATGAAGTGTTGGAATAAGCAAAGGAACAACCTCGCATTTGGAATACCTTCTCAAAAAAAGTCTCATAATTGGGAGAGGACCTGTCAGTGGTAGAGCACCTAATTTATTAATTTTTTTACATGCAGAAGTTCTCAGACCTCATATAGAAGAACTACAACATTTCTGGGTAGAGTTGGAAAATTCTGCCCTAATGACCATTTTAAGTATAAAAAAATGATATACCGAAAGGGTTAGGGTTAGGGCTTGAATGTTAGGGATGCGAGGTGGCTTAAATGTCAAGGGAACCAGGGGCGGAGGGAAGCAGAGGCTGCCTCTTTTCTATCCCTGCTCTGGATCGCGGAATCTGGCCGGCAGGATGGGGTGGGGGCTGGCCTGAGCCTCAACCATCTGAATGTACACTGATTTGCATACATTAAAATGAAATTTCGTAGCTTGCCTATATATGTCTATCTTTCCGGACACTGAATCTAGTTTATTTACCATTCTTACAAGTGATATACAGCACTATCATGTGACCTCTGTATCTCTCCTAAGCTAATATAAATGTTCTGTTGTTTCCTATTTCAGCAAAATTATTTACGATTAGGACTGGGAACTTAGTTTTATGAGAGACTGAGGGAACTGGATATGTTTAGTTTTGAGAAAAGACAATGGGGAATATTATTTATTTTATTTATTTATTATTTAAATTTTTATACCGCCCTTTTCCCAAGGGACTCAGGGTGGTGCACAGCCAGCAACACATAAACATAAAATTTAAAAGCAATTTAAAATATATTAAATAATTTGGCTCCAATATTATTTAAAAAAAAACTAAGACAACCATTAAAATTCATGTTTAGGCCAGCCCAGCTTGTTGGAACAATAACATCTTGAGGGCACGGCGAAAGGTGCGTAGGTCAGGGATCATCCGTATCTCCGGGGGCAATTCATTCCAGAGGGCAAGTGCCCCCACAGAGAAGGCTCTCCCCCTGGGGGTCGCCAGCCGACATTGTTTGACCGACTGCACCCTGAGTAGTCCCTCTCTGTGGGAGCACATTGGTCGGTGGGAGGCTATCGGTAGCAGAAGGTGATCTCGTTAAGTACCCAGGTCCTAAGCCATGGAGTGCTTTAAAGATGGTAACCAACACCTTGAATCGCACCCGGAAGACTACCGGGAGCCAGTGCAGCTCGTGCAGGAGAGGTGTTACATGGGTGTCGCTCCCATAATCACCCGCGCGGCCGCATTCTGGACCAGTTGAAGCCTCCGAGTACTCTTCAAGGGGAGCCCCATGTAGAGAGCATTACAGTAGTCCAGATGGGAAGTGATGAGGGCATGAGTGACCGTGCGCAAGGAGTCCCGATCCAGAAAGGGACGCAACTGGTGAATCAGGCGAATCTGATAAAAAGCTCCCCTGGCCACAGCCATTACATGATCTTCTAGAGACAGCCGTGCATCCAGAAGGACACCCAAGTTGCGAGCCCTCTCTGAGGGGGCCAAGATCTCCCACCAATAGTCAGCGATGGAACCAGCTGGCTATACCGGGATGCCGGAAACCACAGCCACTTGGTCTTGGAGGGGTTGAGTCTGAGCTTGTTTCTTCCCATCCAGATCTGCATGGCCTCCAGGCACTGGGACATCACGTCAAGGGCATCATTGGGGTGGTCCAGGGTGGAGATGTACAGCTGAGTATCATCAGCATACTGATGGAACTTCACCCCAAAACCACAGATGATCTCACCCAGCGGCTTCACATAAATGTTGAACAGGAGGGGCAAAAGGACCAACCCTTGTGGCACCCCACAAACAAGGCGCCTCAGGGTCAACCTCTGTCCCCCTGCCAACACAGACTGCGTGCGGTCAGAGAGGAAGGAGGAGAACCACCGCAAAACGGTGCCCCCCCACTCCTAACCCCTCCAACCAGCGCAGCATGACACCATGGTCGATGGTATCAAAAGCCGCTGAGAGGTTTAATAGGACCAGGACAGAGGAACAATCCCTGTCCCGAGCCCTCCAGAGATCATCAACCAATGCGACCAATGCCGTTTCCGTGCTGTACCCCGGCCTGAAGCCCGACTGGTACGGATCTAGATAGACAGTTTCATCCAGGTACTGGGGGAGTTGTCACGCCACCACACTCTCAACAACCTTCGCCACAAAGCGAAGGTTGGAGACTGGTCGATAGTTCGCTAATACAGCCAGGTCCAGGGAAGGCTTCTTGAGGAGGGACCTCACCATGGCCTCTTTCAAGGTGGAGGGGAAGAAACCCTCACTCAAAGAAGCGTTAATAATCACCTGGAGCCAGCCTCGTGTAACTGTCCAGGAGGCCAGTACCAACCAGGAGGGACACGGGTCCAATAAACATGTGGCAGCACTAAGTCTACCCAGAATCCTGTCCACGTCCTCGGGAGTCACAAGGTCAAACTCCTCCCAGATAACACTCTCAAGACCCACCTCCATCACCCCATCTGAACCTACGCAGTCGGAGTCCAAGCCTTCCCGAATCTGAGCGATTTTGTGATGCAGGTATTGCACAAAGGCCTCAGCCCTACCCTACAAGAGGTCTTCCCACGCTCCCAAATGAAGTAGGGAGCGGGTCACCCTAAACAGGGCAGTTGGGCGGTTATCTGCAGACGCAATAAAAGCGGAAAAATAATTAGATTTTGCCGCTCTTATTGCCACTAGGTAGATCTTAATATGAGACCTCACCAGTGTTCGGTCAGATTTCGAACGGCTGGCCCTCCAATCGCTCTCCAGGCATCTTTTCCAGCACTTCATCTCCCTCAGCTCCTCAGAAAACCAGGGAGCCAATTGGGATCAGCACTGGGTCAGAGGCCGCAAAGGCACGACACAGTCCAAAGCTCCAGCGGCCACCCTATCCCAGGCGGCCACCAGTTCTTCAGTCGAGTTGTGAGCCAGAGCCTCAGGGAATGGCCCAAGCTCCATCAGGAACTTATCCGGATCCATCAGGAGCCTGGGACGGAACCAGCTAGTCGGTTCCGTCTCCCTGCGGCGGAGGGTAGCGGCTCAAAAGTCTAGTCGAAGGAGTGAATGATCTGACCATGACAAGGGCTTGATGACTATATCCCCTGTTTCTAGATCATTCAACCACTGACCAGAGACAAAAATCAGGTCCAGAGTGTGTCCCCCCGTGTGAGTAGGGCCTTGAACTAACTGGGTCAGGTCCATGGCCGTCATGGAAGCCATGAATTCCAGTAATAACTCCAGTAATTTCTGACTATCAGGAGCTTAGTGCACAGAAGAAGCTCAAGAACCAATTATTAAAACAAAGTTGATCTTTGCTGAATGTGTCAAATTGCTGACTAGGCAACTGTCTGTCAGGGAATACACTACACAAGAAGTAGACTTGGCCTAAACAGATTATTCCAATGGAGCCTATGATTTCCACTACTCTCATCTCCTCTGCCTTCTGTGCATCCACATGTCAGGCACTAGACCCAGCTGTTCCTACACTTCCTCATCACCCACCTCCAGACCTGTGGGGCTGTTGACTCTCCATCTGAGGGCTGACGGCTGGCCTAAACTCTGCCTCTGTCTCTCTCTCTGACAGCTCCATTCCCTCTTCCCCCTTGGAGCTCTCAGGTTGCCTTGATGCTGACCCTGACTCCCACGCCTCCATTTCATGTGATTTGACTGCTGGAGGAGGCCAGTGGCTGACAGACCACAACACACTTGTTCTGGCCCCTCCCATCTCAAAAGTCTGAGATAAATGCTTCTTCCCCCTCAATTCAGACCCCTGATTTCACCTCTGGGGCTGGAAGCATCTGGCCAGGACAGCCCCATCCCGCCATTCGTTTCACAGATGAAGATTTCTGGCATAAGAAGAGTTGCTGTGCTGGATGACAAGAATCAGACAGACATCCCTGCCCCAATCCAAAGGGAAGCCTCCTAAAACCGTCAGCTAAACCAGGAAGAGGTGGAGAGGATCTGCAGGGATCCCTCTTAACCCAGT